ACCAATTTCAATGGCACCATATAGAATGGCACCAATTGAGCTGAAGGAGCTTAAAGAACAATTGCAAGAATTGTTAGACAAGGGGTTTATTCGACCTAGCATCTCACCTTGGGGTGCACCGGTTTTGTTTGTCAAGAAGAAAGATGGCTCCATGAGAATGTGCATTGACTACCGGAGGTTGAATAAAGCAACAGTGAAAAACCGTTATCCCCTCCCAAGAATAGATGACTTGTTTGATCAATTGCAGGGTGCATCGGTCTTTTCTAAGATTGATTTGAGGTCTGGATACCATCAATTGAAAGTGGCAGATGGAGCAACCTCAAAGACAGCTTTTAGAACAAGATATGGGCATTATGAGTTCCTGGTAATGCCTTTTGGACTCACTAATGCACCAGCGGTATTTATGGCTCTTATGAACAGAGTTTTCCATGAATATCTTGATAAGTTTGTGATTGTGTTCATAGATGATATTCTCATCTATTCTAAAAGCGAGGAGGAGCACAAAACTCACATTAGAATTGTGTTGCAAATTCTAAGGGAGAAACAATTATATGCAAAATTCTCAAAATGTGAGTTTTGGCTGAAGGAGGTAATATTTCTGGGACATGTAATTTCTGGAAGAGGTGTCGAGGTGGATCCGAAAAAGGTGGAAGCAGTGGTGAGTTGGGCTCCACCAAAAGATGTGTCTGAGTTGAGAAGTTTTCTTGGCATGGCGGGTTACTATCGGCGGTTCGTAGAAGGATTTTCTAAAATTGCTGCACCATTGACTAAACTGTTGAGGAAGAATACCAAGTATGTTTGGGATGAATCATGTCAAAAGAGTTTTGATGAACTAAAGAAGAAATTGACCACAGCACCAGTACTGGCTTTACCTTCAAACCATGGAGAGTTTGTGGTGTATAGTGATGCCTCATATCAAGGACTGGGTTGTGTGTTAATGCAAGATGGAAGAGTTATCGCATATGCCTCTAGGCAATTGCGTCCTCATGAAGTAAATTATCCCACTCATGATTTGGAGTTGGCAGCGGTGGTATTTGCTCTCAAGATTTGGCGACATTATTTGTATGGTGAGACTTTTAAAATCCTAACTGATCACAAAAGCTTGAAGTATATCATGGATCAGAAGGATTTAAATAGTCGCCGGAGGAGATGGATAGAGTTGTTGAAAGATTATGATTGTACCATTGATTACCATCCAGGTAAAGCTAATGTAGTTGCTGATGCTCTGAGCAGAAAAGGCAAGAAGAATATAATGGATCTGGTTGATTTGAGGGCAATGAATGTTGATTTGGAAGTGGATGGTGTAACAGGGTTACTAGCTCGGTTAAACATTCGACCTTTGTTGCATAAAAAAATTCGTGAGAAGCAGAAGGAGGACCCAGAGTTGGAAAAAAAATCATTCAAGACATTGGGGAAGGAAAAGAAAGCCCATTTGAAATGGTAGATGGCATGTTGAAGATGAATGGAAGAGCATGTGTTCCTAATGTTGATAACTTGAGGAAAGAGATCCTAGATGAAGTTCATTCTTCTGCTTATGCTATGCACCCAGGAGCAACTAAAATGTATCACACGATCAAACCATAATTTTGGTGGCGTGGGATGAAAAAGGAAGCGGCTGAACATGTTTTCACATGTCTGGTATGTCAGAAAGTTAAGGCAGAACATCAAGCTCCTGTGGGAAAACTGCAACCACTTCCAATTCCAGAATGGAAGTGGAAAAGAATCACAATGGATTTTGTATATGGTCTCCCATCATCAAGGGGAAAAGATGCAGTATGGGTTATTGTGGACCGACTGACCAAATCGGCTCACTTTTTACCCATTAGATGGAAACCATCACCGGAGACATTGTCTCAACTATATATTAAGGAGATCGTTAGATTGCATGGTGTGCCAATTTCTATTGTCTCTGATCGAGACCTGAGCTTCACATCTCGGTTTTGGCAAAGTTTACATGATGCCTTGGGAACTAAATTACATTTTACTTCAGCTTATCATCCTCAAACAGATGGGCAGAGTGAACGAACCATCCTAACTTTGGAGGAATTACTTCGATCATGTGTAATGCAATGGGAAGAATCATGGATTGACCATTTGCCCTTAATAGAGTTTGCTTACAACAACCAATACCATAGTAGCTTGGGTGTTCCACCATATGAAGCACTTTATGGGAGGAAATGCAGGACACCATTATGTTGGGATGTAGAAGGAGCAAGGCAAATCTCAGGACCAGAGATAGTTCAGATCACAGTTGACAAGGTCAGGGAAATCAGGGAGCGGTTGAGGGTGGCTCAAGATCGACAGAAAGTTTATGTTGACACGAATAGGCGTGAAGTTAATTTCGAAGTGGGTGAGGAAGTATTTCTCAAAGTGTCACCATGGAAAGGGGTGATGAGATTTGGTAAGAAAGGGAAACTTGCACCTCGGTATATTGGACCCTATGAAATCACAGAGAAGATTGGACCCGTGGCATATAAACTAGCATTGCCTCCAGAGTTATCCCAAATCCACAATGTATTTCATGTTAGTATGCTGAAGAGGTACAAAGTGGATCCTTCCCATGTTATACAACCAGAAGAGATCGAGTTGGGTTCAGATTTGACTTTTGAGGAGGTTCCAGTTGAGATTGTTGATTTTCAGATTAAGAATCTTCGTAGGAAGGAAATCCCAATGTTGAAAGTGGTTTGGAGAAATAAAGAAAGTGAGAGTGCTACCTGGGAAACTGAAGCATGTATGCGAGAGAAGTACCCTGAGTTAGTAGCAACCTACTTTGCAGGTTAACAATCTTGCTTAATAAGTTATGTTTTGAACTTGCTGATGTGTTTTTGTTGTGATAGCCCAGTATAGGTTTTTGAAACCTAAACATGGGAACTTGAGGTGTTATGTGTTTAGTTATGTAATTCAGATCTCCTAACCTAAGAGTTAGGTAGTGACAAGATTTGTGATAGTGTAGGTTAGGGGGGGAACGAGCGGATATGTACTATTGACTCAAGATTAGATTTCGGGGACGAAATCTTTTAAGGAGGGGAGAATTGAAACATCCCGTTACGGCAAATCCCATATTTCGATCGCTAGAAAGTTCGCGATTTTAAATCGAGCGTTTTAACAATATTTCGGCGAAATTTGGATTATCGATCGATCGGATAAGTATACGTATTAATTATATATATATATATAAATAAAATTATATGTTATATAAATAAATAAGCGGTCGGGGACCGCTCAAATATATATACCCCTCGTCCAAATCCTCCCCGTACCATTTCTCCCATCTTTTCATCATTTATATGCCGAGAGAAACAGAGAGCGCAGAGGCAGTCCGATGAAATTTTTCAAAGCTCTGTTCTTGAATTCTAGCAATCCAAAAATCTCGTAAGTAATGCCTAATTCATCTATACATCGTGATTTATCGATTTAGAGCTTTAAAACAAGTTTTTGGTTCAGGAATTTCTTGAATTCCCGATCTGCCAAATTAGGGTTTCGGAATATCCGGAAGCAGATTGAGCCCAAATTTCAGATACGAGCTTCTTGCAGCGAGGTAATCAATCCTCTAGTTCTAATTCATGAATTTCGGCAATTATTTAGGTCGGGGTCCGAATCGCTGAATTTAGCTCCGACCGGGGTTTGATGTGTTTTTATCGAGAATTTGACCCGAAGCATAGAACTAATATTGACGGGGATACTGCAGGGGGTATTAGGACGGTCTCGGATTTTAATTCGGGGTTCGTTCATGAAATTGACGTTTTATCACGTGAAGGTTAAACCGGTATTTGAACGACCAGAACTGGTGAGGGATTAGCACGGCATACCGGGTTTGTCGTATCACGATAATTATATTGATGCTTAGAATTGATCTAGGTGAACTAGAATGGCATGATTAGGGGTGTATGAGCTTTTGTGCTATATGTTGAACCCTGGATTGTTGTATGATATTATTGACTTGCCCTAATCGATATGAACCTTGTTTATGCTGATGATTGTGTATATATTGCAAATTGTGGGCTTGACTGTTAATATGCTTTACGATGGTTCGAGAAGGTGATTAGGTATAATTTTTCATGATTGTTGTATTTGGATGCACAAGTGAGAAAATATATATTCCTTGTTAATATTATGATGTTTAAGGAGGATGACTTGCACGAGGGTTTATCCCGAGGAAGTGCAATTATACGACTCCTGATTTACCTATGTTGAGCCAATTATGGCCAGGGCAAGTACATGTATAAGTAATGAATTATGATTATGCAAGATGAGATATGAATCATGTACAAGGATACCAAATATGAGTGTTGTGGTCTCACGGTCAACTACATAGTAATTAGGGCTCCCTATGCTATTACTCTATTATGATATGTATGATAGTCACACCGCTCATGTGGTGGTGACTGAAGAATTCTTATGAGATATGACCACACCCAGAGCGGTGTCGGGGTATGACTACACCCATAGTGGTGTGGGGTATGTATGACCACATCCGACGGGATGTTGGGGTATGTATGACTACATCCGACGGGATGTGGGGTATGTTTCCCGGGAGAGTTATTAGCATGGGAGTAGCCAGGCGCCTATAAGTAAAACATGATAAGATGCATTTGCATAAGTCAAGGTGGTTGAGTCTTTTTCCTATTGGGATGTCGGAGGGCTGAGATCTGATCCTAGTGCTTTGGCTTGATTGTTAGATGTATGGTAGGGGTATGCTGGTTATGAACTCACTATGCGATGATTATCTCACTCAGCTATGAGCTGACCCTCTTTTATTCTTCTTCTCTGCTTATGCTATGTGTAAGCAGATCATCAGCAGCAGTAGATAGGTGTATAGGTGGGAGGTGAGCAAGAGTTGAAGGCAAGATGAGGTATGGTCTTCAACCATTCTGTGCTTGGACTACTACTCGGGATTTTGGCCAGTGATCCACACCTTATTGTAAAAATGTTTTGAGAACCTTTTTCATGTTCATACTAGCTTCTGATGTAGTGTGAGATATCCACAGGTGTGGAAAGTTAATGATATGTTATATTTATGTGGTTGTGTAAGTTATGACGATTATGGTACGTATAAGTATGGTATGAAGTTGTGGAGTATGAAACTGTGACTATGGCTATGAAAGTCCATGTATATGGTTGTTAGTATATGTTTGTCATTGAATGCATGGATTCAGATAAATTATTTTGCAGGTTTTAGTTACAAGAACTGTTAGCCCATTACGCGAGTAATTCATGTCGAAATTTTCTTTGGGTAAATTTTTGGTAATTAATGTAACACCCGGGATTGATTCCGCTGCAATTGTATGAACAATATCATTAGGCAAAACTTATAGGGTAGGGTGTTACACTAAGGCAGTCGAGGCTCAGGAGCTAGAACCAACTCATAGTGGTTTCCCGCTTCCTTTTCAGCAGGCTTAGCTACCTGCATTTTCGGCCGCCACTCCTCCTTGATTTTTCTTTTGGGAAGGGGGTGGACGGGAGTGGCGGCGAAGGTATGGGAGGTGAATCCTGCAAAATGGGAGGCACAGAAGGATACACGACAGACTCGTAATCCTGGTGGGAAACAACATGCAAAGGTGATGAAACGGGGAGAGTATTAGCAATGGAAAATGTTATCTGCTCCTCGCCATCTCTCAAAACTAAGCTCCCATCATGTACATCTATGAGAGCCTTGGAGGTGGCCAGGAAAGTCCTTCCCAGGATAAGGGGCACTTCTGCGTCTTCATTGATGTCCAAGACAACAAAATCCACAGGATAAAAGAATCTGCCAACCTTAACTAGAAGGTCTTCCACTATGCCCCTAGGATGGACTACAGATCGGTTAGCTAATTGAATACTCATCCTCGTTGAACTGGGTTCACCTAGGCCTAGTTTCTTGAACAATTTATATGGTATCACATTAATACTAGCACCTAGATCCGCCAAGGACCTCTCTACATGCAATTTACCAATAGAGCACGGGATAGTAAAACTACATGGGTCCTTCTGCTTCGGCGGAAGCTTGTTCTGCAGAATGACCGAGCACTCCTCGCTGAGCTCCACAGTGGCCAGCTCGCTCAGCCTCCGCTTCTTCGAGAGAAGCTCCTTCAGGAACTTGACATACTTAGGCATCTGAGATAGTGCCTCCATGAAGGGCACTTGAACATTCAGCTTCCTAAGCATGGACAAGAAATTTCCGAACTCTGCCTCTAGCCTGTCTTTGTACATCCTGGTGGGAAAAGAAAGCTTAGGCTTATATTTAGCCACTATTGGTTGTGGCTTTGGAGCTTGAGCCTCTAGCTCCTTTTCCATCACTAGGTCTTCTTTCGGCTCTGGGGTGATTTGGGTTACCTTCTTGGCACTCTTCTGCGGTGCATCCGCAGTCACAGTCCCATTTCTCAACATAATGGCATGCAACCCCTCCTTATGATTTCTGGGATTCGGCAGGGGTTGGCCAGGAAGTGTGCCAGCCGGTCTGGAAGCAAGGGCATCTGCCAGGTGCCCGATCTTAGTGTCCATATCCTACAAGAGTGCCTGCTGGTTTCTCTGGCCAGCTTCAATCTCCATGAATTTGCATGCAGCCACTTCCATGAATGGTCCAATTTATTGAACTTTTGGGTACTAGTGCTAGCCAAGGTAGTCACTAGATCCCTCAGTTCTGACACGTGATAGCCTGGTGCTGGGACTGATGGAGATGCACCAGGCTGCTGTTGCTGTGGGGGCTGCTGAAAAACCTGCCCCTATCTGGGCTGATAAAGTGGTTGATGTTGCTGCATTTGACCCGGGCGAGGCTGGTATGCCTGCCTCTGGTTTGGAAAACTAGTTGCAGGAGCCTGGAAGCCAGGTGGCTTTGGGTTGATGTTGCCATTCCATAAGAAATTTGGATGATGGCGCCATCCCTCATTGTAGGTATTACTGTAAGGGTCGATGCGCCTGGTATTGTTGATAAAGTTCACATGCTCCTGGGGTGTACTGGACTCACGCATGGCCTGACATTCCTCCACAATGTGATGGGAGCTTTCGCACCACTGGCAGTGCATCGCCTGTTACTGTCATGTCCCTGAAACCAGTCCAGAATGATCAATAGATGAGACCAGCTTAGATACCACCTGTACGTAATCAGACGTCTAGGTGGCTACAGCATGCACACCTCGCACTGGTGCTCGTCTCGATCTCCTTGCAGTTCCCCAATCATATCCCTACCCTGACATCTCTTCAAAGAGTTGATTCAGCTGTGGTGGTGTCTTGGTGAGCATATTCCCGCCGCAAACTGAGTCAATTAGCTGTTTGTCTTCTGGGAAGAGGGCATGGTAGAAGGTGCCCACCTTCAAGGCGTCAGTAAAACCATGGTTGGGACACTTGAGGAAAAGAATGGTGTATCTTTCCCAAGCATCCCGAATGGTCTCATCTTTATCCTGGGCAAAGTGGGTGATCTGCTTCTACAGGTCCGTCGTCTTCGACGAAGGATGGTAGCGGGTGAGGAACTTGTCCGCCAGGTTGGCGAATGTGGTGATCGAGCCCGGAGGCTGAGTGTCCAGCCACTCCTTGGCCTGCCCCTCCGGAGTGAATGGGAAGTACCTCAGCTGGATGGCATCAGCTGGGACCCCATTTATCTTGATCCCATTGATGAGCTCATGGAATCTCCGTAGATGCGATCTAGGGCACTCCCCCTCTTTTCCACGGAACACCACCGAGCCGCGCAGCATGGTGATGACAGAGGTGCTCACCTCGAAATTATTGGTGGATGGGCGACGTCATGTCTGTGGCTCTGGCGGTCCAGTAATATCCCATGGTGTGCTCATCCGGGACAACCACATCGTTGTCTTAAGGCTCACCCATGTCTTCCTCCTGATTGATCTGCAGCTGTGCTAGGGCCTCCTCCGCAGCCAGTCACGCCTTTAAAGCCCGCTTGAAGTTCCTACAAGTCCGTTCAAGCTCTTGGTCTAATGGCAGTAAGTCACCTAACTGACTACGGGTCATGCACTACCTGCACACAAAATTCAAACACAACCTGTGAAGTCACAAAGGTGGAAGAGAGAGAGAATGCAGTAAAGAAAAAGCTAGATTAACAAACTTTCATGTTTCCATAATAACCTAGAAGGTCCCCGACAACGGCGTCAAAAACTTGACACGCAACGACACAACACCTAACAATGGCCAAGTGTAACTTATAAAAGGGGCTCAGTATAGTGGCAAAAGTAATAAATATCGAATCCATGGGTCTCTAGAGTTACTATTACTCATCTTCAATTCATTATCTAGCAAACTGGATTAAGTATTGATTTACTAAACTACTCTACTAATTACAGGTTGGGAACTCACTTAGGTATGATTCCCCCTAGCTCCTCAACTAGGTCCAAGTTGTAAGTCCCTTTGGTTGTTTTACTATTGATTAGACTGCAGAAGATCCGAAATTAGCTTGGAATCTCTTAAGCTGACCAAGCCCTCTTAGACAGAATAACCGGCAGGCGACTAGCCTTCACCAGAATAGACTGCTAACGCGATTCACACAGATCTCATATACTTGGAATGGATTCCAGTACAAAGTAGTGAATTGAGTGACTCTCGTACAATCAATTCTCTACTACCAATTGAGAAAGCTCTCTTAACCAAATCAGATTCTATCTATCATTGGTTAAAGCAGAAATCAAAGGAAACTGATCAGGATTCAATTGACTCAACAATCATGCCTCAATTGATTAAAACCATTCAGTATAACATCCAAAGTTTCAAACAAGAAAGATCCTAACAAATGAAACTAGGGTTCCTCAAAACCTAAGTGAAGGGAAGTTACTCCATAGAGAAGAGAGAGATTACAGTATAACTTTTCAGATCTTCAATCTTCATGTCTAGACTTGTTCCTTGAGCTTAAATGGTGAAGAATCCTCCAAAATAGCTCCAAGAATGGCTCTATATCGCCCTCTCTCTGTTTTGTTCGTCCCTTGGGTGTTTGGATCCAAAACCCAGCTCCCCCTCTCCAAAAATCGCAAAACAACTTTTATACACACTGAGATTTTCACCCCCTACTTGCACGGCCGTGCAAATTGGGGTTTTGGCCGTGCAAACCTCCTGAAAAACTCACACGGCCGTGCACAATTTTCTGCATGCACTCCTAAGTTTCGTTGAGCTCGTTTGACCTCCGATTAAGGTGCCGTTTGATCCCAAATGCTCGTAGTCCCTTCCTCTTTCTTTTCATAACAAGCTTACATGATTATTTGTAAATAAAATGAGGTAGAAATCCATTATTCCTCAAGTCATTCCCAAGTTTCTCCCCCTGAGTCACCAATTGATCTCTGATTTACTTGAAAATTGCACCTATGCTTCAATTTACATGCTAGGACCTGAAATGTGACAAAGGAACACAACCTAGCGCAAAATAGGCCAAAGTAGGATAAACACCAAGTTAAACAATCAAGAAATGAGGGGTAAAAACATGTGCAAATTCAGTGTTATCAGCTTCTTGAGCACTTTCCAAGCCTGCTTAGGCAACATCGCCACATTGATTCGATCGAATCACGAAAGCCGAGCCCTCAATGGAATTTGATTTGAAAAGTCTCTTGCCACGAGAGCCAGTGAATACCCTTCTCCTTGTCTATACCCGCCCAACAAAAACGAGCCAACTGTTGATTTAATCTGCGACAAAAAATAGAAGGCAGGAGAAACGAGTACATGGTATAGTTAGGGGAGGTTGATCCCACCGTCTTAATTACTACCTCTATGGAAGCCAGGGATAGAGCTTTAGATCGCCAACTTTGGATATGGGATGCCAAGGTATCCTCCACAAGAAGAACGTTTGGATTTTGGAACGTTGGACTTGAGAGGGAAGTGCTAAGTAACTGTCTTGAGCGCTTATGGAAGATACTCCCAACAAAGAGGCTACTGACGTTAGTGCTTGTCTTATCCCCCGCTGTGGTCTGAAGTATCCATGTTCCGAACCATTGATTAGCACCGAGAATGAAACCGTTGTAACACAGCCTTTCAGCCATACCACCATTGTCGACATAATCCCAAAGCTTCCATAACAGCAAAGAGAAATCCCCACTCTACGCGGTCATAAGCTTTATCCATGTCAAGCTTCAACACCATCCAATGTTCTTTACCCTGAGTCTTTGTCTTCAAGAATTGCATTACCTCTTGGACTATTAGGATGTTGTCGGATATGTCTCTACCCTTAACAAAGCATTCTGACAGTCACTGATTGTGGACGGTAGAACTCGACTTATTCGAGAGGCCAACACCTTAGCAATGACATAATCCAATCGGTCGCATTTGTCGCATATGCTCAGCCCAACTGCAATATGGGGAAGAATATCAGTATGCTACTCTCCTACGGAATCTAGCTGATGAGGGACATAGGTACACGCCAGTTCTTGACCATATCAGAAATCGAATAGCCAATCAGTGGCAGGTGCGAATTAAGCATGTTTATGACTAACAAAATGATGTTGCTGACTAGTTGGTCAACCTGAACCATTCTATCACGTTTGGATCATGGTTATGAATTATTTCGATTCAACTCTGTGTAATTGGATTAGTTGTATATAAGGGGGCTAAAGAGTTTTGAATAAACGAGTTAGAGCGCTTCTCTTTTTTTTTAATAAAGATTAAGAGATATTGAGCTATTTTGTTAGGAGCTAGCTTTATATATCCCACTACGTCCATATTTGAGGAATGCCAATTTTGTCAGTACCCATTTATTTGTGTTAGTTTGATTTTTAATTCATGTATTCGTTACCATACCAATATTTGGCTTGTATCATGCTCCTGCACATAACCAGTGGGCCTCGGTCAATTGACCCAAGCCCATCCTCTGGACTCACAAACTCATAGTTCGACATCTTGGCATTTCCATAGATCACGACAGATTTGGTTATATCTATGCACGTTTTACCCTTTATATTGTGAGTGTTTGAATTGGTAGTCATCATCCGTCGACCTATGTTATGTTAGGTTGTGCTATTTTTGGCACATTTAAGGTCCTAGTATGTGTGAGAAGGTCAGAGACGAGTTTCGAGACATTATGAGGTCGAAGCGTGCCAAAGAATGAGGAAGAGGCCAAGATCATATGTAGGGAGTGAAGATCACGGCTGCATGCCGTGAACCTAGCAAGCATGGCGTGATCCCAACTTTGTTCCGGAGGGTTGAGCACATCCAGCTGGCATTTTAGAGATTAGGGTCTCAGACCGTGATCTTTACGTGAAGACCGTGAAACTTGGACAAAAACGCGAAGGTTTCGGGTTCGGCTGAGATCACGACCGTGATCTTTGGCCCGTGATCTGGACACTCATGGTATATAAAAGGTAGCAGCTGTGAGAGAGTGGGGAGAGTTCAGTTTTTCCTTTAGGTTTTCGGCCCAAAACACCAAAGAGGCATTTCTAGAGTGAGAGAGGGATCTTGAGTGATTTTGGAGTTTAATTGAATGCATTGGTCAAACTAGTAGACAACGAATCAATCCTAGGAGATGAAGATCTTGAGCGATATTGTAATCCCTCTCCTCTTCCCTATGAATTATACCTCTTCTCTTAGATTGATGAACCCTAGGTCTAGATTGTGGTTTTGATGTTGATGTATGTAACAAATCCTATGTTTGATTGTTGGGCTAATTCCATTAGAAGACCCGAACTATGCAAAAAATGTCAATTCTGTCCTAAAATATTCAATATGACCATCATAGTCTAAAAACAAAATTATTTTTCCATTAGTGTTGACCGGTGTTGACTGGTAGGGTTTAACAGAAAATCTAGTCAGATGTTGATGTGGCATCTGACGTGGAATTTTATATACATTTTTTTATTTTTCATGTCATTTAAAAAATTAATTAAAATAAAAATAATAAAAATAAAAAACCCTTCCCCTTCAACCCTCTTTGCCTCGGACGTTTCTTCCATTATTTCCATAACCCTCCACCGCTGCCCTCGACCTTCACCCCTTTCTCCTCTTCCCCTTATTTCCTAATCTCATCGCCTCCCGACTCCCATTCGGACCTCCGCTCTCCATCGACACCACCAAAGCCATACTCACCACCGCCATTAGATATACTTCGACCCTATTGAACGATTAGACTTCCATATTGACTAGGGGAACGTTCAAGTTGACATTCAATAGGACGCTGATCAAACAAAAGAGGCGGCGACTAAAAAACGATGGTGAGTAGGTACGAGAACAAAAAATCTGTCATCGCTCACATTGTGCAGTGGGGGCAGTCGCCGACTGATGCGACCTAGGCAAGATTAGGGCTTTGGGAGTTCAAGGGCCTGCTTCAAAATGCATCCTAGAAATCCGACCTTGACGAATCCAATCACCTCTTCTCCTTTACAATGGCCAGGGGCAGAGGGAGAAGGTTAGAGGGGAGGGCAGAGGGAGAAGGTTAGAGGGTAGGTCCCTGGACCCACCCTGGCTTGGTAGGAAAAATGATAAATTAGGTACAATAGTTAATCGGGTATGAAAAATAAGGAAAAATCCCAAAATACTCTAATTATTAAAAAAAATTCCCAAAATACAGTACTTATAAACTTATTTCCCAAAATACAGCAGTTTGAACATCACCGCTGCAAACCAAGACAGTGATGGCAATCACCGTTTTTGACCAAAACGGTGATAGCATCATCGCTTTGGACCAAAACAGTGATGCTATCACCGTTTTGGACAAAAGCGATGATGCAATCACCGTTTTGGTTAAAAACGGTGATAGTCGACCTTATCATCGCTGTAGACAAAAGCGATCATATCATCGCCATGGACCAAAATGGTGATAATTGACACGTTTTAGAGCCCTGGTAGGTGGAAATTAGGTCACAGCTACCAAGCAATCACCGGTGAGGACAATGGCGGTGAACACATCACTGTTTTTGTCCAAAGCGGTGATTGCTAAATAATTTTTCTATAAATACTGACCTCCACTTCCCCTATTGCTACCTTACAGAAAATTAGTACAAAAATTAGTGTTTTATTAGTCGGTTTCTCAGCTGGTTTGGAGTTGGTTTACTGCTCAAGAAACTCGTCGGGATTCGGTATGTTATAATTATGTAATGTTTACATGTTGATGTGTTAGTAATTTATATGTCTGTATTTAGTGAATTGCGGTTATTGGAAAATATGTTATGATATATTTAGATTAATTATGATATGATAGATGTTAGTTAATTAGTTATGAATTTAGATGAATTTGTTTAGTTTTCTCATGATAGATCGGGAGTCGGTATGTTATAATTATGTATTGTTTACATGTTGATGTGTTAGTAATTATATGTCTGTATTTAGTGAATTGCGGTTATTGGAAAATATATTATGATATATTTAGATTAATTATAATATGATAGATGTTAGTTAATTAGTTATGAATTTAGATGAATTTGTTTAGTTTTCTCATGATAGATCGGGCTTCGGTATGTTATAATTATGTATTGTTTACATGTTGATGTGTTAGTAATTATATGTCTGTATTTAGTGAATTGCGGTTATTGGAAAAAATGTTATGATATAAATAGATTAATTATGATATGATAGATGTTAATTAGTTAGTTATGAATTTAGATGAATTTGTTTAGTTTTCTCATGATAGATCGGGCTTCGGTATGTTATAATTATGTATTGTTTACATATTGATGTGTTAGTAATTATATGTCTGTATTTAGTGAATTGCGGTTATTGGAAAAAATGTTATGATATAAATAGATTAATTATGATATGATAGATGTTAATTAGTTAGTTATGAAGTTATATGAATTTGCTTAGATGTCAATTACATGCGTTTGTTTATGGGTTTGGATGATATTGTTTTTGTATCCCTAATGTACTAATTATATACTATACTTAATTACTATAAATTGTAGACATGGTTAAATTTAAGAAGTTTCGGCTTATTATTCGGTGGAATGGTCAGGTGACAAACTCGAACATTGGCATCGACTATGAAAATGGCGAATCCACTATGCTAAAAATTGAGTCGAGATTCTCGTGGCAAGAACTCCATGACATTTGTACAGAAAGGACTTGTACGGGCGGGCAAAGGAGAGTTGGTCAAATTGCCTACCGCTATCCAAACATGAGTGCTGGCGGAGTCATGTACGAAAAAGTTGTCATAAACGATGATGACTCGGTGAACATGATGATACAGTTCCTATCTGACAACGGCTTGCGGCTTGCAGAGGTGTATGTCGAGACCGAGCTGGTCGGTGAAACTCATTCTCACCAGTATTCTTGTGATGATGGTTTTGTAGGAGGGTATGGCTGGGGTGGTAGTTCAAGTAACTACGGAGGAGGTACTTCTGCAGGAGGGTATGGCTGGGGTGGTACTTCAAGCAACTACGGAGGAGGTAGTTATGAAGGAGGTGTTGGGTGGGAAGAATACCCGCAACATGCTGAGACTGCCGTCAATATCGTTCAGCCCGACGGTGATCAATGGCCTGCTTGGGGTCCAGAGTGGGTTGACATTGAGAACAACCTTCGATCTGGGCGTTCTTCGCATGACCAACAAGACGATGTTGGTTATGCTGGTAACGATGACCATCCTGAGTCGAGCTATCCATTCGCCTCTAGTGACGATGAAAGTGAGGAAGATTTGAGATCAGTCAGTGAGGAGGATGATACGGACGATATCGACGATATCGATGACAGAGAGGTGGCGTTCCGTCAGGCACCAACGCCTTACTACACAAAGGTTCCTAATCAATTTTTATATGGTCAGAACGATGCCCCTGACTATCGGCCCATGCCAGTGTATAATCCGACTGCTCCTTTGGAAGTGGGTATGGCGTTCACTTCGAAAGCCGATGTGCAAGATGCTTTTAGCGAAGAAGCCATGCGGCGTAACTTCGAATGGAAGGTAAAATATTCTGACACCAAACAATTGCATGTCATTTGTAAGAATGCTGGAGAGGGTTGTGAGTGGCAACTTCGGGCTGCATATATGAAGAGAAAGGGCATCTGGGTCATGCGAACAGTAGAGAACAACCACAGATGCTCCTCAACCATACTTTCACAGGATCACCGGCGACTGAAATCAAAAAAGGTGGCGAGAACCATTAAGCACCTAATCGAGGCACAACCGGATATCAAGATAAAAGCTATTATGGCCGAGGTGAAGGATCGACATTCCTACACCATAAGGTATAAGAAGGCGTGGCATGCGAAGCAGAAGGCCATGGCTGAGGTCTACGGTGATTGGGATGACTCGTATGCTTTACTCCCTCGACTAATGTCCGCAATGGAGGAGTCCAACCCTGGGACGGTTTTCGTGCCGTGGTACAACAACGGGCAAACTGAAGATCAAGTTCGAGTACAGAACGAGTTGATGTTTCATCGTCTGTTATGGACATTCAAGCCATGCATTGACGGGTTTCCCTTCTGCATGCTAGTGATTCAGGTATATTACGGACTCAAAATATTGTACTAGTTCATTACCTTACTAAGTTAATTTTTTACTAACTAATTATTCATTTATAACAGGTTGATGGAACTTTCCTTACTGGGAAGTATAAAGGAACTCTTCTCATTGCAACTGGGGTTGATGGAAAT